AAAGAGATTCAGAGGAACTACTTAATTTGATATTCTCAAATTACACATCACCCCGCTCTTTTGAAACTAGCATGTGATATCTGACAGTGTTTCATGCACAACTGGACTACACAGTTCCATTTCTAAAAGAACTGCATCCTTCCAAGTCAAGCTTGTAGCCATCACACCTTGAGACCAAATTTTCTGTTTTGGTTGGGTTTTTGGAGACAGGGTCTCCCTCCATGTCTAGCCTACCCTCAACTTCCACCTTCCTGCCTCAGCCTCCTGAGCAATGGCATTACAAACTTGCACCATCATGCCCTTCCTGGGTTAGACAGGTTTTTACTGTTGAAAATTAATTACAACTTCAGTTACTCACTGGCTCCTAAACCAGTTACTCTAAAGGGCCCTAAAACAGATGGTTTGCAAGAACTTTATCGTTTAGATACTGTCCCTCCACTTCACAAACTAAGACCCTGAGGCTAGAGAAGTAATATGTTAAGCTCCAAAGATATTAAGTAGCAAAACCAAACATTGCATTTTAGTTTTGAATTTTTTTAATGCAACAGTTATTCCCAACAGCATAAAATCAGAAACAGAGAATACTTATATAGCATAGGCTGGATTATATCAATATAGGCTAGAATATCTATGTATAAGATATAGATAGCTGAGGATACAGGTCAGAAGCAGAGCATTTGCCTAGTACATGTGGAGTCCTGGGCTCAACTCGCAGCACCACAAAAAATAAAAATAAAAACCAATGTGAAATAAAATATAGGAAAGCACCTTGGACCTTCTCAAACAGTTGATAAGCAGAGTTGCTAAAGTGGAGAATGAGTTATAAACACAAGAGACAGTATTTATGGCAATGTATCAAGTAGCCCAATTCCTTTATCAGATTAAATACAAGTGCCAAAATCTGCATTAGAGAAGTTAAATGGCTTGCTAAATTTCCAAGACTCCAGTTAGAACTTTTAGAGCAATGGTCTAAAACAGTCATTACTGTATATTACCTTTCGAATGAGTATATGAACTATACTCATGATTCATAATAAATATCTATTTTTATATCAATTATTTGTTTGGAGAATGTTTTGTGTTAAAGAAACAAACTATGGGTTAGTCTCTAGTCTCCCTGAAGCAAGAAGTTGTGCTTTTAAATTTACCCTCTGAAATGTTAGTGATAGTCATTAAATCCATGCTTTCATATTCATAAGCAAAGAATCAATCCTTATTGATTCAGAAATTTTTTCTATCAAATTCTATTATTAAAGAAGCTGATTTAGTATAAATGACACACACATAGTTTTTAATAGGTATGAAACACAAAAAGATTAAATATTTCTATACTTTTAAGTTCATTTTTCTATCTCACCCACTACTTCTGTCCTTTCCAACTAGACATCTTAACTCCAATTCTGATTGCCCATCATTTACTGTGAAACAATGAGCAAATAAATTACTTAAACATCCCTATTTCTCTATTTCTGCAAAAGAGGGATGGTTAGAATCCTCTTAAATGCTGAAAGGCTTAAATAATATAGCCTACACTATTTACTCCAGTACCTGAAAACACAGTAATTACTCAAAACAAATTTTCTCTTGCTGTAGTTATTGTCATTTTCTAATCCATCTCTACTTTGTTGCCAAGTAACTCTAGCATTTCCTTCTAAAGCACAAATCACTCACTTGCCATTAACTAGACCTCAAGCAGCTTGTCTCCAAACTGTACCATTTCTTTCCAACTCTGATATCACAATGGGACTTAGCATGCATGACCTTAAAGACTGAGTACATCTAAATGTATTTTATTTTTTAAGACTTACTTAATTGTATTTGTATGAGTGTTTTGCTTGCATGTCTATGAGCACCATATGTGTGCCTCGAGCCCAGGGAAGTCAGAAAAGGATGTTAGATACCCTAGCACAAGAGTTACAGATGGCTGTGAACCACCATGTGGGTCCTGAGTGCTCCAAACCTCTAAGTCATCTCTTCAGTCTCCTAAGTGTGTTTTTCCATAAGCAACAATGCCTAGCAAATTACAGGATATTTTCTTTTATTCACACTCAAGTTTAAGTGACAGAACTTAAAATCTTAAATGTTTTTCTTGAATTCTCAACTCATTTCAAATCACATTAAAACAATGGGATAATGATTCAAAACATGGTTGAGCTATATACTAGCTATATGATCTTGGGTAAATTACGTAAACTCTCTAAGTCTTGGTTTATAAAGCAGTGAAAATACATTCCACGGAATTGTATAAATTAAATGAAATTATCACTTAGCAATGTTCACACATAGTGTTTAATAAATTGTAGCCATTACTACTGCTATTACAAAAAAAATCCACATGTAAAATTTAAATGAAGCACATGCCTAACTTTTCATAAAAATGAGCACTTATTTCATAACTTAAAATGTTTAAAAATAAGTTTGTATCTTTACTGAAAATATTTTCTCATTTACTGTAGCATGGAAATAAATAACAATATTCTTCAGGCACTTCTCATTATAATAAACTTGTAGGCCTTCAGAGAAAATAGCAAAAGAGTTTTGTGTTTAACTTAAGTTCCAAACTTAAATATAAACTAGTCAATCTTCAACAGCACTTCCATGTTACTACACAATCTGGAATTCAATGTAACTTGTTCAAAATCGCTTTCAAATATCCAAACAGGCAATTCTGAAATCTCTTGTACCAGGTTTATTGCCCAAAAATAAATGAAAAGCACACCTCTAAAAGCACTTTAGATGTGTGAGATGACTGCCACAAAAAAGGGGGGGATTTCTATATGAAATCATACCTTCATGATAGTCACCTGTCCTACCTTGCATTCTTCCAACATATAAACACAATATACGTTTATTAATAGCACTACTGTGCTGACAATAGACGTCAAGGAACTTTTTAAAAACTCTACGTTTAAATGAGTCAATCTTGTTTAAGAAAATATATTCACAATCAACTCCTTTCCCCGAAGAAGGCACTATGGAGAATTTTGGGGACTAGGGATTAGTCCTGCTGCCAGTTTCAAGATATGCCTGACACTAAATTTACTCATAATCCTTTACACCTCTGGACAATTTGTCAACGCTGAGACCGAGGCCACTGAGACAGAAAATAGACTCTCAGCACAACAAACCAGAAGCCAAAAAGGAAGGAGCAGAACATGGAAAACTCAGTGAGTCACACGTGTTGCTTACAACTGCACACACAAAACTTCAATTCACCAATCCGAACTCTCCGACCGCAAAGACATCATCAAAGGATTAAATCTACTGATGTCGTTTGGAGTTGCTTTGCCCCCAGCTGTCCCTAACACCACTCATCTTCGTCCTTCCTCTCCACCCCTCGGGCCGGCCGCTGTCCTTCTAATAAATAAGGACAATGGTCGTGGACTGGCTCCTCCAAGTCGCTCACAATCCACGCCCACACCGCGCTCTGAGCAGCATGACACTGACAGTTTTCAAGTCCTTCCCATCCGGCCAGCTCCAAGTGGACGCGGAGGTGATCAGAGAACTCGGGGGTGGCTATTTCAGCTAGGGAGTGTGCTTTCTGGGCGCTTCGGGCACTTCTCAACACAGGTGGGGCCAGGGGGATCGAGCTTGCTTCGGACAGCCACTGCGCGGAATCCCTGAGAACACAGCCGGGAGAACACCGGCCTGGGGAGGGGAAGGCCGAGCCGGGTCTCGTGCACTCGGGCGCCGCCCGGGCAGCTGTGCTGGGCAATCCACGGGAGAAGGTGGCAAACCGTGTCCGGGGGCTCAGCCCCGCGCGGCGTGTCCCCAGCCGCCGCCGCCGCCGCCGCCGCCGAGCCCTAGGCCACTTGGCATGGGCGGAGGAGGCACCCGGGCCGGCGCGCCGAGGAACCCGGGAACTGCTTTCCCGCAGCCGGGAACGCCTCCGTCTCCGCGGCCCTCCCCCCTTCAGCGTCCTACCTGAGCGAAGTGGGACCCGCCCGGCCCCGGCGTCCGCTCCGGCAAGCCCGGGTCGTCACGGCGCGCAGCCCGCCTCTAGAGCAGGCGGCGGCAGCTACTGAGAGGGAGCTGGGCCGGGCCCATGCCTTCCCATCAAACCCCGCGCTCCCGCCGCCAGCCAATGGGCGCCGCGGCCGGCGCGCGCCGCTCACCCCCCCCCCGTCACGTGACCCGGCCCGCCCAGCGGTTGGTGCCTCGCAGCGATGCCTTTGGCCAGAGGGTTCAGGCTGCGAATTCTCTGTCGGTCCTTAGATCCCTGCAGGCAGGGTATGGCCGGTCCGATGACTCTTACTGGTCTTGGACTCTTAGTCTTCCTTTGCCTCCTTTCTTTCTGAACAGCCCCCCCCCCCCCGCTTCCCCCGGGAAAGAAACCGATCCTGGTTGTCCCAGTCCTTCTGAGCGAAGAGTGGAGAGGACAAAGAGGAGGGGCGTTTGAAGGTCTAGACGAGTGTGTCTGAAAAAGAGCGGGTACCTGAGGTCCCAGATCAGCTGTCACGGATCCAGCAAGCAGCAAAAAAAGGTTTACACTACATAGCTCAGAAGAGACCAGTCCCAGCCAAGCCAGTGGAGACATCTACATAGGCCTGGCTAGACCCGATGAGGGCTTGAGGCGTCTGTTGCTCATGGACGTCAAAAAGGGTCCTTTGATGACTGGGCGCTTACCTCACCAGAATGAGATGAACTTCAAATGCTAAAAGGATGGCCTTTTCAAACCTGTGGGTAGCAAGGAAGGCTGAGCTTTACACCTTTTCACTCTCCTAAAGTTCTAAATAACTGAGCCTGCCTAAAACCATCGTGATGTATTTTTCCTAAGAGTTGAAAACGGCCTAAAGAATGTTAAGTTTCCTAGTCAAGTATCAATAATAAATGACACTTGAATGAGGAGGGAGAAAAAAACACACTAGAGATGTGTACCCATAACAAGAAGGGAAACTTTAACAAAGGCTTTTATGTTTTATCCTGTGTGCAATCATTTTTATGGGTTCTTGTACTTTAGTTACTAAAGAAAATGTTTCTGATTTTCAAGGTGTAACGGGTATAATATGCTGTGTTTACAGTGATGATGCAGGTGAAGAAGGAGAAGACGATATAGTCGTAGTCTATCGAGTTGGTAAGATGATTCTCTAACTGCTAAAATCCTCCACTACAGCTCTGTAAAAAGAATTGGAGAGATCTAAACTTTAGTGTGCGGTGTGAGCCACCTCACAAGTGTGGAAGAAAATGAACACGCGTTTCACCAGGTTTGATTTGGAAATTTTACCACTTTATTTTCTAGCCTGTGCAGCTTCTAAGTATTGAAGTCTCGTGCTGCTGTGCAGCTACTGCATCTCGTCTCAGGTCTTTCCTCAAGAGAACAGGAAAGAACATGCTTGACTCTTACTAATATTTTGTCCTCTAGTTTTTCAATGGGCCATCAAAGACTGTCATAAAGGGAGTTTCAAAATAAAACCGGGACAGCAAGACAGAAGAGCTAGCTGGTTACAATAGAGTCTAAAAATCTAATCCTAAGAGAAAATGTCCTAGGGGAATAGAGTTAGAAAAAGTTTTAACCTAGTCAGGTTTGAAGGAAAACATAAACTCCACATCATCCCCCAAATCTTTCAAAGTAAGTATCATTTTTCAGATGAGGAAACAAAGCAGAAGGATATGTACGCTGTTAAAGATAGCACCATGCCGTTTTGTCTTCTATATGGGGAGGTAAGAGCTGCACTGAGGATATAACTCAGTGGTAGGACACTTACCTAGTGTGTATAAGGCCCAGGTTCAGTCCTCGGTACCATGAAAGAAATGAAAAAAGGGAGTAAAAAGGAAGCGTTTGTCAAGGGACAAGAAGGGGAGGCAGCAGAGAACTAAACATGGGATGGATTGCTAAACTACAGACTACGAGCAAGGCCCTGGGTTAAATATAAGGGAATGTGCAAGAGCTGTAATAAAGCATCCAACAGGAGTGAGAGAAAAACTGCAAGTTAGGTGTTGTTGTATAAACCCGTGCTCAAGGGGTTAGAACGTAGCACAGCAGCCAGGGACCATGTCAGAGCCAGTGAAGCGGCTGCTTTAGCAAATCAGATCTCAAAAACGGCTCCCTACTAAGCCTAAACTTAACAGGATTGCATCTAAAGAAGTGAAATCCAGAGAATGCTTTGAGAGAGGAAACAAACTGTTCAAGCTGGTGGAATCCTAAATGGTTTAATTCAGCCAAAAAAAAATCAATTTCCATAAGTGTTATGAAAATTTACAGGAGGGGCATTCATCAATCTGGTCAGAGGTGTTAGAGAAAGCTTCCTTAAGGAAGTCACACTCAAATTAGATCCGAAGAATAAGAAACATAACTGGAAAAACACAAGGAATGTCATATGTAAAGGCCTTTTGTTAGAAGCAGGCATTTGCAAGCCTAAGAGACTAAAAAGAGGCCATTGTGACTGGGTCGGATACTACAGGGAGACAGTGATACAGTGTGAAACTGGGCACCACACTGACAGATCTGTTTTTCTGGCCTTGTTTTTTAAAAAACAAAAGTTAATCCTTTCCTTGAGAAAACAGCAGATTTGATGGGATCCAAACAAAATGTGAGAGCATGGGCGTGGTCAACTCTGGACCAGTGAGGGTACGCAAGTGATGAGTGCAGTTGGACACAGTGCAAGCGAAAGGAGATAAGAACAAGGAAGTGGAAATAAGTAGGGCTAATGGAACAAACTAGAAAGTAAAATGAGAGGTCCTGGTGACAGGTTCAGATCAAGATTTAAGGAACGAGAAATGAAAAATAACTGGAGATTCCTGGTGGTCCCATTAGATCACTGCTAATGCCATCATGGAGATATGGGGAACACTGGAAAAGAGCCAGGGTTAGAGGAAAATGTGATTTTGACTTGAACAAAGAACTTAGGGTATTTTTACGACTTCAAAGGGAAGTATAAACAGTTGGGTTTATGGGTCTGAAACACCAAGAAGTCTGGGCTAGACAAAAATGTGTTGCCCTTTCTGTAGCCACATTCTTTCAAATGGAGTGTCCTTACTCTAAGTAAGCTGTTTTGTCTTACATTTAGAATAGAAAATACAAAATAGAAGTCACCATAGCAGTGTCCCAGGATTCCCTGAGAATCGCCAGGGCCTTGTTAAAAAAAAAAAAAACAGTTCTCAGATTTCCCCTTAGAGATACTTGTCTGTTGTGGGGCCTGAAATTTGTATTTTTAATAAGTGCCACTGTTGATCCTTTTTATAACTAAGTTTATTCAAGGCATGGTACTATGGTGCCAGAGACTAACTGCATGAGAATACCAAGCTAAAATACAGACTCTTCTCACCGGGTGGGGAAAAAAACCACTCTTCAGGGTAGGCCGCGTGCCCAGCAGTCGATGGCCAACAAACAGAAAACACAGTGACATCTTTCAAGGTTCCTTGCCTCATAAATGTCCTGGCTGGGCTTTTTCTTTCTTGTTTTTCTAATTTTTTTCTCTTTTTACCCTGCTGGTCCTTTGTATCTATGATGGCTTCCAGTTTTGTGTTTTTATGGCATTCCTGAGTGTTTGAACACACATAGTACATCAATAGCAAGTTCTTTTGCCTTTTCTTGGACTCTTCCTGCTGTTTGTTTTGACCTACCCCAATGTGTTTGGTCTTATTTTGTCTTATATTTTATTACTCCTTAGATACCTGTTTGTTTTCTCTTTTGAGAAATGAGAAAATCATTATTTTTAATGTGCTTTGATGTTTGGTCTGCATGTGTGAAGATGTCAGATTCCTTGGAACTGAAATTACAGACAATTGTGAGCTCCCATGTAGATTCTGGGAATTGAACCTGGGCCCTCTGGAAGAGCAGCTAGTACTCTTAACTACTGAGCCACCTCCCCAGCCCCTACCTGTTTGTTTTCTAATGAGAGGCAAAAAGGGAGTGGATCCAGATTGGAAGAGAAGTAGGGAGGTACTGGGAGAAGGGGATGGAGGGAAAATGGCAATCAAGATCTATTGCATGGAAAAATCTGTTTTTCAACAAAAGAAAAAAAGCAGTTATTGAGATACTGGAAATGTAGCCCATTGGTTGATCACTTGTCTAGCATGTACTAGGACCTAGGTTCCATTGATTATATATTAAAATAAGTAAATAAATAGAATAGACAAATAAAATAGAATTAAGAAGATACAGCCATTTCATTTCTTTTTTTGGGGGGGGGCATTCTTTTGCTTTTGTTTCCTTTTCTGTTTTGGGATTTTTGGTTTTTTTAGACAGGGTTTCCCAGTGTCTAAAACTCAAACTCACAGAGATCCACCTGCCTCTGCCTCCCAAGTGCTGGGATTAAAGTCACGCGCCACCACCGACCGGCCTGAGTTTGTTCCTTGGTATGTTTTGCATTGTTGAAGATACAAGATAACTCTCTGAGTTATATTACCAATTCCTATACATTTTTCTCTATGAAGTTTAGAAAACTATTGTTGCAAATAGCTATTCTGTTTTTTCAGTATTTTCCTATGTGTATTTACCTGATTACATGATTTTCCTTGTTACTGTAAATGTGACGAATTACTTAGTTGATTTTTGAAGAATGAAACAGACTTACACAGTGAGAAGAAATCTCACTGGCTTAGCTATATACTTCTTTCAAAATATAATTGATTTTATTTGGTAATAATTTGCTTGGAACTTACAATTTTAAATTCATAAAGGATGTGATCGCTATCCTTTCCTTTGTAGTAATGCCTTCCTCTGGCCTGAGCAATAGACTGTTAAAAGTTCTTGGCTTCATAGAAATTCTGAACGTTATCTCTGCTTTGTAGTTTTTAACATGCTATAGACAACTAGTATTATATTTACTTCAAGGGTGGTATTTATGCCATAAAAGCTCTACCCTTCAGAATAAATTAACAAATTATTTTTTAAAAATACAGATTCTTGGTCCCTGCAAATTAAAATCACTAGGAATTAGAAGAAGAAAAGCATAGAGAAAGGAAGACAGTATCACCTCCTGTGGATAAAGCTTTACCCTTCATCTTTGATGGAGGTGACCTAGGTCCTCCACAGTAAGGCAGCTCTGAGGAAATGGGGCCTTGCAAGCTACAAGCTAGATAAGTTTCCTGGTGCTGAGCCTGGGACTCCTGCCCTGGTCACAGAAATGGCCCTCAGCCCACTTAGATAACTTTTTTGTACTACTTCCAGAGCTGCTACACAGAGAAGCCCTGTCTCGAAAAGCCCAAAAAAAAAAAAGACAAAATAGTCACATTACATGAGGTAGATATGCTTTGTTTATTTTTAAATCTTGTTTAAGTATTTTAATACTATAGGACAATGGTTCTCAACCTTCTCAATGCTGTGACCCTTCAATACAATTCCTCATGATGTGGTGACCCCCAATGATAAAAATTATTTTTTTTGCTACTTCATAACTGTAATTTTGCTACTGTTATGAATCATAATGTAAATATCTGTGTTTTCAATGGTCTTAGGTGTCCCCTGTGAAAGGGTCATTCGATGCCGGGGGATCTCCACTCACAAGTTGAGAACAGCTTCTACATAGGCTGAGAATATCTTCAACATTTTTCAGAGTTGATCAGGATTTTTATTTTTATTGTCAGTGCTATGATAAATACTTAGTGCAAAGTGACAGAAGTATGTTTGGGACTATTTCCAATATTGTTTGAAATTTTGTCCTGATTCCAACACAAAATTGAACAGTTTTTATGAGGCTTAAGCCAGCAACTCAAGCAGTAATTTTGAAAATCAAGTATTCTAACATAATGCAATCAAAGCCATGCTAATTTGATACATGCTGAGCAATGGTGGATGGAAATATTATTATAAAAGCCCTTGCTTTGTGTAGTTAAGCCATTAAGTTTCCAAAGACGAGAAAATGTTTCATGTACAATAAAGGCACTGCAACTCATACCACAGCCTGCCCTCACCACCTCGGGATGCTTTCAGATGCTTCGATTTTCACCCTCTAATGGATACAGTACACCAACCAAAGAAATGTTCTGTCTTGCGTTTCTTTGTAATGAAAAGCCAATCACCTTCATCTGAAAGTTTTCTCATTACTCAGTGTTTTCCCATTTGTATAGTGTGTTGTTGGTATTTTTCTTATTGATTTGTGTTAGTGCATTGCATACTGGGGAAATAAATCTTATGTTGATTATATGTTGTGAGTGGTTTTCCCACTTTTATGGTTCATCTCTTCACTCATAATATCTTGATGGGAAAAAATTCCTAATGAAACCAATTTATTGGTCTTTTCCTTCATTAGTAATACCTGTTTCCTATTTCAGAGATCTCTTCTTGCCCTTCTACATTAAGACTTTTAATTTTTTTCTAAAATTTTAGTATTTTTCTTTGCTCTAGAAATTTACTTTCTTAAATTAGAGAAAAGGTGAGCACTGAAGTTCTTCACTCCTCTCCTTGGGGAGAATGAACAGTAGAAGAGGTGACGTGCTCCGCTCTGCAGTACTTTGTTAGGGTTTCATTTTGAGCCTATGACAAGAAGACACATCACAGAAAGAATGTGTGGTAGAAGAATCTGCTTACATTGCCTCGTGGTAGAAGCAAGCAAAAAAGAGAGGAAGACAGAACTGGACTCCCAGTATCTTCTTCATGTGCAGAGCCCAAAAGACCTGACTTCCTTCACTAGGACTCTCTTCAGAAAGGCTCCACTGCCTCCCAACAGCAGTCTGTCCAGCAAGCTTAAACGCATGCGCCTTGGGGGACACGCATAACCATGACATTTGCTTGTAAACTGGAAAAGTAATGTATGTGTGAAATACTTCTCACTTTTCTTTTCTGTTGATATATTATCCTTTTGTATATTGCTGGATTTGATATGCTATTCTGCTTCAGATGTAGAGAGCTTTAACAAATGGTGTGGACCTGTAATTGCTTGTCTGTTAAGGTCTTTCTCTGCTTTTAGTATCAAGGGCAGCCTAGCTAACTTCATAAAAAGAGTTACAGAATATACTTGCCTTTCTGTGGTCAGTTATTATTTTTGCCTATTATTTGTCTTATCTTTGGAATCAGGTTTTCAAAAACCTCACCCCACCCCAAAAAAATATCCAATTGGCCTTTCATTCAACTTTCTTTGTGTATATTCATTTCCTTTCATGTAAGCCTTTCTGGAACATGGTTTGTGTCTACAATGTTCCCATATAAGCCTCTTAATCTCCAAATTTGTTCTCATTTTCATTATATTCCATACCTTGTAAAAGGCAGGATTCTAAAAGTATTCTTGTAAGATTCTCACCTCTGGTTAGTCAATAAAATAATAATCCAAGTATTGCTATCAAGGAAATCTGCAGAAGAAATTGAAGCTATAGACCTTTTAGAGGGGAAAATTCTCCTGGACAATCTGAGTAGAGCCAATTGAACTACTTCCCTGGCAAAAAGAGAAGTTTAGCTGGAGTCCGAGAGATATGGCAGAAGAGGAAAAAATGAGATAGGAAGTAATCAGAGGTAGTCAAATCGTAAGAAGGATTTGGTGCTTCATCTGTGATTTTTGAAAACGGGAAGGGCCCGCAGCCAAGGAGTGCAGTTACCTACCCTTCAGAGGCTCGCCTAACAGCTGGCAAGTAGGAGCTCAGCCCTGCCAAGGGCAGAATTAAACTCAAACTCCAAGGAAACCTGGAAACATTCTTCTCAGACAGCAGAAGGAGCACACCCTGCTGATATTCAAATTCTGTGAAACCTAAAACAGAACAGGCTAAGCTACACTGTCTGCATTCTTGACCTATAGAACAATATGATGATGTTACCCAAGGTATAAAATGTATGGCTGGGGCTAGCTAGATGGTTCAGTGAGTAAAGTCACTAGATAGCAAGACTGACTTCCTGAGTTTGATCCAGTTACATGGTAGAGGAAGGGAAACAACCCATACAGATTATCTTCTGACCTCCACACATGTGCCATGGCATAGAGATGTGTTCGAACATACTATTTAAAAAATTTTTAAACATAGCAATGTGTTAACTGCAGCAAAAAGAAAAACCTTTCTTACAAGCAAAGTATCTTTGATAGTTCATCAGAGAGACTTTTCTGTTCAGTGACATCTGCAAAGTCACACTGTGGTATGCATTGTTTGCCTATTTGGGTTCATCCATCACACTCTTCTGAAGTAAACAGTCATTCTAGGTGGGTCGAGGTAAGTGTCCTGTGCACCTTTAGAATGCCTACACACTAAAGTTGAATGAAATCTATAAATGAGTGAACTGTGGAGATGTGCTCAGGGGCAGGGTACATGTAGGCAGAGAGATGGAGAGAAGTGTGTCAGGAACCTGAACTGAGGAGCCCAGAGCAGTCCAGAGAAGCCACCACCCCCACCACAGTCAGGGGAGCAACAGTACGGGAAGTTAAGTATGCTGAACTTGGATGGGGGGAAGCCAAGATCCAGCCAGACGCTAACACCCAGTAACCAAGGTAAACACAAGTGTGGACAAGCTTGCCACACCCCTCATAGTCTCAGCCACAGAAAGCCCAGAATGGGAGTATGATTCCCAGCACACCAGAGACAAAGTTGTTAAGGACAGGCAAGAGTCTCACACTGGGGGATTGCTGTAAAAGTGGAGCTCTGTGTAGTAAGCTGGAGAAGAATTCTGACTTGAATAACTGAGGTTAACAGCCCTCTTCTTCCTACAGGACCGTGCTACAAATGAGATGGGAGAAACCACATTCACCCCTGCTACCAGAAAGAGCGATACTAAAATAGCTTCAATTTCATTTGTTTTTTTTTTTTTAATTTTAGTTTAGTTTACAAAGTAGCAGGTTTCTTTATGGTATTTTCTTAACATGTTTTTTGGTTGTTACACACACACACACACACACACACACACACACACACACACACCTTCCCATTCCACCACTATCTGCTCTAACCTTCCCTCCACTATGCCTCTTTATATCACATATTCTGTTCCCCTCCCGCCTCCTGCCTTAAAGCCTACTCCATGCCCCCTTCTAGCTTCCTGGCCACTACCCCACTAACCCCATACCTAAATACACACATTCACACATTTGATTTCATTTCGTTTTAGATTGTAACTCATCTGAAAAGACTTTTCTGACCGCTTTCCCTGTATATGCACTACTTTACCTTGTAGCTCTCTTCCCTCTAACCACTCCCTTTGGGTGCTCTTTTATGACCTTTTCCCCGTGTCTCCACCATTTTCCTTCATCGTCCTCTTTCCTCTAACCATGCAATTTCCAGGTTGCTCATTTGCTCCCTCTTTTCCCATCCTCTTTTTCCATCTTAACTATCAATCATGACGGTTCTAAAAACCCTGTCAACTGCATTTTTCTCAATCCAGTCCCCGGGGCTGCTGTCTCCGCACCTTCTCTGGGGTCCATGGGAAGTAAATGCCTGCTTCTGCAGGTTCGCACCAGCACCGCTGTCAAGTCATGGTGTGCGCTACTTCAGCAGGCTTCCTTCCTAAAGCAGAGTAGGGACCATAAATTCAGGTGACAACTCACTAGGAAGAATCACAGATACCAAACCAATTAGTGGGGAGTGAACCAAAAGGGAAAGTGAAAACTGGAGGCCACATCCATACCAGCAGACAAAATACAACAAAGAAACTCAACTGGAGAAATGAAACCACCATCACACCTCCGCAGCTCACAACTCCAGCGCTGGGAACCAAAGGTGAGCTGAAATTCCACAAGTTTTTTAAAAGGATCAGTAACCACACAGAGGACTCGATAAGCAGATGGATAAGGAAATCAATCTGGAGCCCAGATAGCAAAGTTAAACAGCATGAATGAAGAAGAAATTTGAAGGTGAAATTCAAAATCATAGAGGAAACAGACTCCTGAAAAGAAGGAAAGAGACATGCTGGAATGAAAGAGTCAACACAGTGGCCAGCCTGGTGTACCAGTAAGTTCCAGGCCAGCCACGGCCACACAGTGAGGCCCACACACAGTGAGTTCCAGGCCAGCCACGGCCACACACTGAGGCCCACTCTCAAAAACAAAACCTAACAAAAGAACTTGTATAGCAGCTTCCTAAGTATCTGACTTTTGTCCTCTCCTCTTACCCGAACTCCATATGACAACATTTATGTGACCTTCTAAATGTAGTTTCTATCATGCTATTCTTCACTATAGAAGCTTCCCATTTCAACTACTATGAAATACTTACTCCCAGCTTTGATCTTCCATGATCTGGATCTTGTCAGATCCTCTGAGCTCACTTCACAGCATTTTTCTCTACATCACACATTCCAAACATGCCTGTCATCTTTGCCCCTCACATAAGGTATATACTCACGTTCAGTCTACACATTTTCTGTTTTCTAGTTTAAAAACATTGTCCCTCAAACACTGGACTTTGTTTTTGTTTTTGTTTTTGTTTTGTTTTGTTTTGTTTTAACAATGCAAAGTATACACTGATGTAAAAAATCCAAACACTACCAGACAAGACCAAGCCAAAGAATAGATGTTGGAGATAGAGGACAGGATTGAGATAATATTGCATTCAGACATATCTAAAGGAGAAAAGAAATGAGCATGACCAAAACTTCCAAGAACTATTCAGGAGCCCAGACCTAAGAATCTACTAGATGGGGAAAAGGAACTAAGTATTAAAGGCATGGACAATTCAGTTATAAAATTATAGCAGAAAAATTTTCAAGTCTAGAGAAATAAATGAACATACAAACACAAAAAAACATTCAGAATCAAACATGCAGGGTGCTGGAGAGACAGCTCAGTGGTTAAGAGCACTGGCTGCACTTCCAGAGGACCACATTTGATCCTCAGCACCAACATGGCAGCAAACAACCATCTTTACCTCCAGTTCTAGGGGATCTGACACCCTTCTGGGGCCTCTGTGGATACCAGGCAAGGGAGTGTAATCAAATACATGTAACATGAAAGCCAAGGAGGGGCTACTTGTGGACAGATGACATGGAACAGGGAAGGTAGTAAGAGGGAGGTGAATAAGAACAAATTATTTGTGAAAATGCTGCAATGAAACACATTACTTGTTTGCTAACATGCATACATATATATAAACATATCCACATATAAAATATGTGTGTGTGTTAGCTGAAGATGGAGCTAAATGATAGAGCACTTATTTAGCATGCTCAAATCTTTAATTGGATACCAGACAATACAAAACACAAGGAATGATGCTAGTGGTGGTGATGTGTGGTTGGTGGTGGTGATGTGTAGTTGGTGGTGGTGATGTGTGGTTGGTGGTGGTGATGTGTGGTTGGTGGTGGTGATGTGTGGTTGGTGGTGGTGAGGCAGCAGGTAGGTGTAGCATGAAACTTAGAAGGTCTTATTAATAAAATCAAACCTGAGGCCAGTTATTGGGGTGAACACTGGAAGATCAGAGAGACAGAACAAGCCACAGCTTCCTTACCTGGCCAACTACTCAGCTGATCTTGTTTCCTCAGACTGGAAGCCTCTGTGTCCTCATATCCGAATGGGTCTCAGCTGAACAGTGCTACTCAAAACCTAAAAGCTTAACCAGCCAAATGCTTAACCAGCCAAATGCTTAACCAGGCCAAATGCTTCTAGTTCCTGGTCCTCATGCCTTATATACCTTGCTGCCTTCTACCACCACTCCCTGGGATTAAAGGCTCGCTTTCTGGGATTAAAGGCGTGAGTCACCATGCTTGGCTGTATCCTTGAACACACAGAGATCCAGGTAGATCTCTGCCTCTGGAATGCTAGGATTAAAGGCATGTGCTACCACTGCCTATCCTCTATGTTTAATATTTTGGCTGTTCTGACCCCAGATAAGTTTATTAGGGTGCACAATATTTTGGGGAACACAATACACCACAGGTAGGTATGGCAGTTCGCACCTATAATCCTAATAGTAGAAAGACTGAGATAGGCACTACCACAAATTAAAGACTAACATATAATACAGAGTGAGTTTCAAGCCAGCCTGGGCTACTGAGACCCTGTCTTCAAAAAAAAAAAATGATAATGGGGGCTGGAGAGAAGGCTCAGAGGTTAAGAACACTTGTTCTTGGAGGGAACCAGAGTTAAGTTTCCAGCACCCAAATGGAAGCTCACAACTGCAACTCCAGCTGTAGGTGATCCTATGCCCTCTCCTGACTTGTAAAGGTACCAGAAACACATATGATACATGGAAACATCAATACACATCAAATTTTTGAATTAGAAAATATGATTATCAGAAAAGGACCTATTGCTCTTACAGTGTAGAATCTGTCAGATATAAGCAATGACATTAGTTGGCCATTATTGTGCTTTACTGCTGTTATTAAAAAGCTTATGAGTTGCTTTCAATTTTGTCACCAATGGAAAACTGGCTTGTAGTCTTATTCAAGCATGTGGAGCACGGACCAGGTCTGGTGGCGCATGCCTTTAATCCCAGCACTTGGGAGGCAGAGGCAGGTGGATCTCTATGAGTTTGAGGCTAGCCTGGTCTACAGAGCGAGTTCCAGAACAGCCAGGTCTACAAAAAAACAAAACAAAACAAAACACCCTTTCCAGTGAATTATAAACAAAGCATGGTTTGGGGGAGCCCCTGACTTGAATGTAGTTTCAGAAGTCTGGATGGCATTGACTGATTCCTCATAGTTTGGTTCATTGGCATGTATCAGAAAACAGATTCCGTCTCTCCTGTAAGTAATTGTCCAGTGTCTGAGGGTGGGGGGGGGGGGGGGGTGTCTGCTTCGCTCTGTCTTGTTTTGTCTAGCTAAGCCGTTATGTTTGTCTCACGTACCACCTACTGTTTAGTCTGACTTTGGAGATTTATAGTCAGCCGTCAGAGCCGTGGGCTGTGTAGCTTTGGGTCTGTCCTGCACATGTGCAGCTCAAAAGTGAGACCAAGTATTATGCTGATTTACCATCAGAATTGGAGGATCATCTTCAAACCTTTATCTTCCAGGATTTCTCCCTCACCTTGCAGTCCACAGGGGTCCTTTTCCTAATCTTCTGGTAGAATGATAGGATTCCTCTTGCACTCCAAGCTGCCAGGCTTCCCAAGCTGGGGCCACCCACAAAGGAAAAGGCAAGAGGAAAAAAAAAAAGAATGATTTTTAGAACTATGAACTCCCTGAGAGTCAGTACGTCCCTGCTTCTCGACTCCTCTGAACAGAAAAGGAGAACACAGACTCACCTCCACTATTCGTCTGCCTTTGACGAGCCAAGAAAAAAATACATTACCATGTGCAGTCTGGCCTGTGAGCAGTGCTTTTCCTGGTCTTCTGGACAGAAACTAGGATCTCAGAATTGTAACTGTCCGCAGTTCAGATGTGTGGTGCTCTCAGGAGCCCTTGGCCATGAGTAAAAGGGAGTAATGAGACACTCACCCCTGAATAGCTCACCTCCTAATGGCCCCCACCTACGCTTCACTCTTTAAAGTTGCCAGATAATTGTTTCATGGGCTTTGTTTAGAACTTTAAGTTAATTATCAAACAGATATCAAATATCAGACTCAGGAATTCCACCTGCCTCCTTTGCTGTGGTGGGGGCAGGGCATGGAGGTCTGACTAAAGCCTCGAGTTCTCTAAGCATGTCCTCCACTGCTGATCTATGCTGCAGCTCCAAGCTCCAACACTTCGGTAATATCTCTTTTACAAGACCTGCCTTCTCTGTGTAGCCCTGGCTATCCTGGAACTCTGTAGACCAGGCTGGCCTCAAACTGCCTGCCTCTGCCTCCCTTGTGCTGGGATTAAAGGGGTGTGCCACACTCCCACCCTACTAATAAAATTCCCCGCCCCTCAGCCTGTACACTTTTTGATAATCTGTTGATTTGACAATGATTTTTTAATATCTCCTATAAATAAGAGAAACGTAATTGAGTAGCTTGGTTAATTATTACTGATAGTAATGTTTCAACTTTGCATTAATAATGAATAAATGTTTAGGACAGATGTCAAATGTGGGAAGAGTGCTTTGGGGTTTTGTATCTGTACTATAAAAATGCAGGGGTTGGGCTGGCAAGATGGATTGGTGGGTAAAGGTGCTTTTGGTGCAATCCTAATGACCTGAGTTTGATCCCTAGAGCACACTTAAAGGAGGAAGGAGAGAAGCTACTTCAGAGCTGTCTTCTGACCTCCAGACGTGTACACACACACACACACACACACACACACACACACACACACACACATAGACATAGACACACACACATAGACATGCACACACACACACACACAGTTTTTTTTTTTTTAAATTCAGGGCTTTAGAATTTTGTGCAATAATCAATCAGAAACTTTTTTAAATCAGTGACAATTAC